AAAACTTTAATGAATTCTTTAGCTACTCTTTCATCAGAGAAATCTAAAATGGAAGCAAATTTTCAAATGGATAAGAAACAATTGAGAAGCGAGAAAGATGAAGTAAGTTTACAATGTCCTTTACTATCTATTGAACATCTGTAATGAGTAAGCATCTTTGCAGTGTGAGAAAATAATCAAAGATTTGAAAGAAAAATTAAGAAAAGCACAAACTTCAAATTATTCAGAAGTTGAACATATAAAATGTAAATTAATTATGGAACGTCATGAAAAGGAAAAAGAACAAGCAGATCACGCTAAAATGTTAAAGTATGTGATACATATATAGAAAAAGTAAATATACAAAAAGATACAACTTTAAAAAATATCTTTCTTCAAAAAGAGATCTTTGAACTAGTACTACCTCCTTTTCTCTTTAGGGAACTTCAAAAGTTATTGTATGACGAGCGTCGATACAAAGAACAGTTGGAAGCGCAATTAAAAAGTCAATTTGCAAACAAAACCCAATGTAAAATACTAGAAGCTGAATTGGAAATTATGAGAAATAAGCTCAAACAGGCTGAAGAAGCAGCTAAAGAAACGCCACCAATTTTATTGTCACTTCAATCTGAAATGGCTCTTATGAAGAAACAACATCTAAATGCGATACATGAAGTAATTTATAAAGATCTTAAATTTTGCACATGTTTCTTTTTTGGAAATGAATTAAGTTATTAGTTCATTGTTTAGGAGCAAAAACGAGCTACTGCTGCAGAACAACGAGCCAGAGTATTAGCAATGACTCATGAAACCAGAGTAACGGGCTTAGAAGCAAGATTGGCTGAACTTTCTGAAATCGTTNAAAACTTTAATGAATTCTTTAGCTACTCTTTCATCAGAGAAATCTAAAATGGAAGCAAATTTTCAAATGGATAAGAAACAATTGAGAAGCGAGAAAGATGAAGTAAGTTTACAATGTCCTTTACTATCTATTGAACATCTGTAATGAGTAAGCATCTTTGCAGTGTGAGAAAATAATCAAAGATTTGAAAGAAAAATTAAGAAAAGCACAAACTTCAAATTATTCAGAAGTTGAACATATAAAATGTAAATTAATTATGGAACGTCATGAAAAGGAAAAAGAACAAGCAGATCACGCTAAAATGTTAAAGTATGTGATACATATATAGAAAAAGTAAATATACAAAAAGATACAACTTTAAAAAATATCTTTCTTCAAAAAGAGATCTTTGAACTAGTACTACCTCCTTTTCTCTTTAGGGAACTTCAAAAGTTATTGTATGACGAGCGTCGATACAAAGAACAGTTGGAAGCGCAATTAAAAAGTCAATTTGCAAACAAAACCCAATGTAAAATACTAGAAGCTGAATTGGAAATTATGAGAAATAAGCTCAAACAGGCTGAAGAAGCAGCTAAAGAAACGCCACCAATTTTATTGTCACTTCAATCTGAAATGGCTCTTATGAAGAAACAACATCTAAATGCGATACATGAAGTAATTTATAAAGATCTTAAATTTTGCACATGTTTCTTTTTTGGAAATGAATTAAGTTATTAGTTCATTGTTTAGGAGCAAAAACGAGCTACTGCTGCAGAACAACGAGCCAGAGTATTAGCAATGACTCATGAAACCAGAGTAACGGGCTTAGAAGCAAGATTGGCTGAACTTTCTGAAATCGTTGGAGGATATGATAAACTCAGACAGCAAGATCAACAAGCTATTCAAAAGTTAAAAGACCGATTAATTAGTTTACAAGATTGTGAACGCAATGATTGTCTTTCTATTAACAATGAACCTGATGATATCATATCTAAAATAAAAAGCTTATATACCAAACTGCTAGATTTGGATAACAAAAAGAGTGAATCAGTACATGTTAAAT